TGGTATGGAATGTCCCTTTGGCCAGTTTGGCTGTGCCCCCTCCCAGCTTCTTGTGCACCTTGAGCCTTCTCAGTCGGTAGAGCATGGGAAACTAGGAAGTCCTTGGTTAGTGTAAGCATTACCTAGCAACAACTAAAACTTGGGTGCGTTATCAACTTTGTTCTCATCCTAAATTGAAAACACAGCATTGTACAAGCTACTAGGAAGGAAATTAACTCTATTCCTGCCGAAACCAGGACACTAATCTAATAAAACATAATATGATATCTGTTTATCCTTCAATTTGATGACTGTAAAGCTTCTAAGCTATCACTCTTATTCAGATTGTCTTCATTTTGAAGAAGTGTTAATAGATAAAATATGGTTTTGTGTGTTTAAGAAATACTTTCTAAATGTTTTACTTTGTAATATTGGCTAAGCTGATTTCTAGATTTTACCTTATACATTAGGTATATAACACCTTTGTATTACAAAAATAACCTAATTTTGAATGACATTCAGTTTTTAATGTGGTAAGTGGAGACAGCGATGATTCTGAAATACTAGATAATCAGTTGACTTTTTCATAGGGCAAATGTAATTGATTATTTTTTTAATTAAAAATATTCCAAGAGATATTTCTAGAAAAAGGTACTATTTCCTCTTTTCCTCTTCCATTTTTAATTTTTAAATCAAATTAACCTGTGAATTGTGAGAAATAAATTAAAACAAGGGTTCAGCCTTAGAGCATGCTCTGACAATGTAATAGTGCATGGAGGGAAAAAAGTGAACAGTCATAGCAATTCTCTTAAAAACGTTTTAAATAAGGTTGCTTTGCAATTTATATGACACTTTGAAATAGTATAAAATGATGAAAAATGTTAGAATTCTGAAATTTTCATCTGTATCTTTACAGTATATTTACAATACTATCTTTACAAAAAATGCCTGAGACATCATTGTATGAAGATGGTGTTTATTCTTGAAGAACTGCCTCAAAAGTCACTATGAAAGTGTCCATGGTAAGTAGACTAGAATAATTTCAACATCAGAGCTAACTGCTGTACCACTTCAAGGTTCACAGACCAGATGTCATAAGTCAAGTAGAAACAGAGCCCTTGGTAACCCTTTACGTAACAGCACACCTATTTGCCCTAAGCCATAGCTTATTCTTCGTTCTGCTACATCTTATACCACACCCATCTTTTTTCTACTACTATGGGGATAGTAACATTGGCATTGATGAATGAAGAGCAAAAAAACCCACATAAAAAAAATCCTGCCCACTCTTCTTTCCAGATTTCTTTCTACTACAGTAAATTCCTATGTGTTTTCACTTTCTTGAATACTGTCATTTATTTTCATTTGATAAACCAATTTAAAGCTCATTCACATGCAAAGCTAAATCAGACAGTTTAATCAATTCTGATTTATGCCCAGATTTTTCCATCTTTGATCACACTGAGCAATAGACATCTAAAATTATTTCCACTGATATCAATATAAGTCAAGGGGCAGAATATGGTCTTTAGAGATTACTAATACACCTAATTCCTGTCAGGGATATCAAGCACGTTGACTTTTTTTTTAGCCATGTTTTGAACATTTACAGCCAGATTTATGCTAAATGCCTATGAACACAGACTCAGGCTGGAGTAAATTTGATACAAAATCATTTTCAGAACTCTCTATTTTCCAGCCAAACAACAGCCTCCAATGTAGTAGAGAATCATTTCAGTAAAAGAAACTCATACTTACCAGCTGCAAGTATTTAAGCTCAAAATAGCAGAAGAGAATCTGCTTATTTGACAACACGAACAGCCAGCATGCAATGCAAACATACAACCCAAAAGATATGTCCCAAGTCCAAGTGGAATACATACTAAGAAGTCCCAAAATTACATCTGTATCCACAACCACATTTACAGAGGTAAATATAGGAACAACTGCTGATATGTCCCAATTAACTCTCAGGAGCGAACACACCTTGCACTTTTACATTTTAATATCCTGTTTTCTTTAGTAGAAGGAAGCTACAACAGGGTTAAGAAAGAATGAGGTGAGCCAGCGTGCACTGTACACACCCAACCTATCCTTGCCTGCTCTCATGTCTTTTGTCACTAGACATGAAAGGGAAGATTCCCCTACTTAACAGGATTTCAAGCAGTATTGGTGTTATCTATCTGTACTGTAAATCCAACTGAAGACAAATGAAACAGAGCAACAGACATTTGTCACTGATCAAAAATAAAACTGTCAGATCACTAACTTTCTTATTCCATTCATAGTCCCCTTTCCTCCCTCCCCTGGGGTTTGTAATTAAGCAGCAGAAAGCATGGGGTTTGGGCCCAAAGTTTCTCATCTCATAGTGGACAGAGACCAGCCACTGACAAAGTTACAAAAACCAAAGCCACTTGCAATACAACTACCAATTCAGTCTTCTCCAAAGCTACAGAATATATTCAGTTAGCCTGAATCCCTCCTGCGATCTGTGCCTCTCCAGAGGCATGTCACCGCTAATAGATGTGGGCACATTAGTGTCTCAGTTGGAATCAAGATAGGTAAAGCAATCCAAAATTGAAACGGATCCTTTGGATAGGATAGAGAAGGGGAGACTGCGGCTTGATTTTACTTTTAATTCCATCTTTCTCCTTGTTTGCTTCTACTTATGCAGTCCACCCTTAAAGACTTGAGTTTATCTAAGCTAAGTCTCCTGGCAGAATATCAAAGTCTGAAAGCTAATCCAGACTATGTTAATACTAAAAAAACCAAACAAATATTTCAAAAGGCAGGAACTGCTAATAGAGGAGGGAGTCTTTTCCTACTGTGATTTGGAACATTAGGACTCCCGAAAGCTTGGCAACTAAATGTTTATCTTAATCCATCAATGATGTTTTTTGTTTCCTCAAATTTAAGCATCAGAACTGAAAAACGTACTGAAGCAGTTCTAGCTAATAATCTTCTCATACAATTTTTTTTTTCCATCAGGTCTAGTTAAGAACCACTCACAAGCACTCACCCTCTGTCTCCATATTTAGGCAGGGGAATGTCAGTACTTGGCTTTCTGCGTGAGACTTTTAGTGAGAACAGAGTTCCACCTAGCATCTCACTTGGCACATCTGCGAGAAGGTTCATGGGCCTGCAAACCAAAGTAAAAAGCAGCTTGCTAATTGTGACG